CAGTTTTAAGTTATAAATGGTTTCATAGATATGCATTTCTTGGGAAGAAACTAATGGAAAGCTGTCAAGTTAACTCCAGCATTCAAACACGGGCGTTTTGTGTCCTAAAAACTCTTGAGAAATCCCCAATTTTGTCACTTTTCAATGCGGGTCAGCGGAACGAAATTTTGAATTCCATTTTGTATCTAACCTTAAGTTATAAATGGTTCAAAGCACACTTGTAGCTGAATGCTTAGTATTTAACGGTGTAATCAGATGATATATGCGGATTTTTCTTAATTTCTTTATTGAAAACGAACAAAGCATTCGTGTGCTGCTGACTTTGATTAGCATCTTCACTCCACGAACTTTTTACCCGAGCCTATGGAAGGGTGTTATAAATTAAAGCGTTTTTTTTTTTGGATTTTGACCCATTTTTAGAACGCTAGTACTTTTAACTGAATTAAAAAAGGATACAATGTTTTCTTTCGACCCTCACTTATTTTCGTACAATACGCATGGTATGACATTATAGAATTAACATTAGGCGCTATCTGGCGAAAAGAAAACGCCACGAACTTTCCCTTTTGCCTAATTCACTTTTGACTGTAAGGGAATAGTAATAATAGTAGTATGATCACAACGTTGTTAAATGTCTTTTGGGAAGAGATGCTTTCGAAACTTTCAAACCTTTATCATTAACTTACACTCTATTAGTTTTTGTGATATAAAAAAAAAAAATAAATTATGTCTACTTTAGTGCTTTAAATCAATAAATTTCTAGCTTAACAAATTGTCAAATTCTCTATGGTGTTTAACGCAAAAACGTATAAGCAAGCAATCATGGCAAACATATATGTAACATAACAAGTCATAAATTTGAAATGTTAATCTAAATTTAAAAAAAAAAAAAGTTTTATTTTTTAAATAAATAAATGAAAAACACTACCATTCACTAAACGAAACGATTGGCTTTAATGATCATTTATTATATCTCGACTTTCATGTATTAATAAAGCATGAAAATCCATAATTTTCTCTTATCATATATAAATTTAGTGGCTGGCTGGAACAACATATTAAATATTTCAAAAATATTTTAATGCCTAAACCTTTTTTGTTGTAATTATACCTAAATATTCATAGATTTTCATTAAATACACGCCTGCCGTGTCACATTGGTGTACAGAGAATATACGTATATATATATATATATATATATATATATGTAAATGTTGCCTCTGAACTCTTTTATGTAAATAAATACGTTTTTGTAACGAATGCATTTATGTATATCGGTCTTCCTATAACCTCCGCCCCCGGGGGAGTATGCACATAACATAGCCCATACAGAGGGATCAACACAAAACGAACGAATAGCTGCTAATTTTATAGGACAACGACATAATCATATTATCGTTAGTGTGCATGCAAAACAGAGTTGTTTTAAATTGACTTATATTTACAGCCGACATACCTATATAAGCGCTAAATATAACCCAATATGTATAAAAAATTGTTTTTTTTTTTGGTTTTTTCGACTGACTTGCAACATTACTATCAACGGTAACTACAACCTGCCGACGACGTTGAAATGATTTTATGCTCTCTGTTCCTCGTTTAATAAATGTTTAAACGATTTTGATTTTTTTTTTTTTTTGCCATAACGTACGACGTTATAATAATAGTTGTCTTACATGTTGAGGTTAGCAAATGGGAAATTTTCGTTCCATCAATTTCTCTAATCGCGTTTCGTATCTACCAACGTATTATCATTCCATTGGCCCGAGAAGCATAGATGTTCTTTTGTATCTAACGAATTTTGACTTTTACTTCCTTCCATAAGCTTGTACTTGTCAGAAATAAAAAAAAAAAAAATGTGTAGTCCTCCTCGAAGTAATTCTGTTACATAGGTTTCTTACGTTACATCACTGAATTATTATTTCTTTATGCTCTAATCCCTATAGTCAGCCTATTATCGTATCCCTCAACAAGTCTTCTTTCTAACACACTTATGGCAACTCTGTTATCGGAACGACACAATTTCTCGATACTACTGATCTTTATGGAATACATATTATATATATTCAATATTTTATGATATTTCGATACTTAGTTTACGATTTGCAGTTCGCTTTAGGAAGACGATTTTTCCGCTTTTGGCCGCAGCGTTCCAATTTTTTAATACCTTGCGAAGGTAACTTCGCTTTGATACCTAAATATATGCTTAATAACTTTCTCGAATATTGCTAATCGAAAAGAAAGGAATGCTTTTTGTAGACTCTTAAAGTGTTTAAGCTCCTCCTTAAGCTCGAGGGCCTTTTACTGGTTTTGTAGGGCTTACTGACCGAAGAAGCCATTAGGACTTTTATACCGAAGAAGCCATTAATCGAATGCATATTCTTAACAAACGGGCTTCTGATTAGGAGACGTTGGGTATACTCATCCGTTACTGTGTCCTCCTTTAACTTCGTAAAGTTGCAAAAATTGAAACCGAAACCTGTAACCTTAAACCACATGCGATGCAAGCAGACCCACAACGACTTGAGATAGACCAATTACTTTATTATACCGAAAGCTTTAGAGTCACTGTCTGAATCGATTAAAGTTTGGTCCGGCTGTCCGTTTAAGGTTTAACCATCTATTCGTCTTAGTTTCTTCCGACTAGATATTTTGATGAAACATGGTACGCTGACGTGTTTTGTTTAGCCCAAACTAAACTAATTAACAAAATACCTGTGAAGGTATTGGTACTGTTCAAAAATCAAAAGGGTCTGTCAACAGCGATATATATATATATATATATATATTAGGATACGTATTGAGTGAGGATACGTATTGAGTATTGTGTTACATCTTTGAATTATACTCTTTATACATTCATTACACCCTGTGGTATTGTTGCAGAAAATCTAAGCCAATAAAAGATTCTTACTTTACGCGTTAGATTTAACAAACTCTGTAAGTCTGTCTTAAGAGATTTTAAAGGAATTTTTCGAAAATCTTCCATTAAACCAAGATGTGCATGCTATCACTTCGATTTCTTAAATGCATAAATAAGTTAAATAGAAAAATTTTGTATAAAAACCTTAACGTGCCCTTCTAAAATTTCATTAGTAACTCGCCTGCGTACGAAGCGGTAGGTCTGTCCAAGAAATGTTACGTTAAGAAATCGTTAAGCGCGCCATTGGTAAAAACGATACGAGTGAGTCGTAGTGAAGAGGCAGTAAAATGCGGCAAATCATTATATATCTAAAAAGCATCGATATAGACCGAGCCTGGGTATCATGGTAGACCTTAGAGATGACTTGTGAATGCGGTTTATTGTTCCGGCTTCTTGTTTTGATTCCTCAAGTCGCACTGAAAAAGAAGAATTGATGTGATTTCCTCTCAACACAAAATGGTTGCCAAATACAACTCTGAGTTATGCGAGAATACGCAGAATAAGTGTAATTTAGTTTTCTTGAAATAGTTTTAACGGTTTAAGTTAAATTATTCACAATTTTATATGCACTTGCGAAGCTAAAATGAAAGCTGTTCCCTCCCTTCTCATTTCTATTCAATTGTCACTTACTCGTTCAATGCTCCTGCTATACGCGAGTCGTTAGTGCTTTGCCCATTTCCTTATGAAAATTCATGATTTCATTTACTATGGTAGGGGGGCATTATATGTATGCATGCATTGAATGCCGTTGAACCGTAAATAAATTTTCAAGTGAATTGAAATATAAAACCTCGAGGCAATTTTCTACTTAGACACTTAAACTATAACCAACGAACCAATATAAATAAATACAAAATTGAAGCATTTCTAAAATAGTACGAAAAATGAATCTTTCTCACCATCAACGTAACGAATTGAATTCTGATTTTCCCTTAAGTTTTCACCAAGAATTTGATATAAAATAAAAAAAAAAAAAATTACTTTAAAAACTACAATTCTTGTTAACTTCCCACAGGGGAAAAATTTTGATTAACATAAATATTAATTTAGTAAAGTAAAGAAATTAGAATAAAATCTCGGTTATTTGCGATGCTCTTAATAGTCGGTTTTTATACATAAATGTTTGACCTCTTTTGAAAGTACACTTATTCCAATTAAATGAACCCATCATCTGCAGACCGCCAATGTCTGTCAATTAACAGTGTAACGAGTAGGAAGCTTCATTTATTTTTATATCCACCATAGCGGTACGCATATAGGATATACTAGCTTTGCCCTTTTGCTTGTAACTCATAAAAAATTGGGATCTGAGGCATCAGGTACATCTTACCATAAATTAACAATATGAATAGGCGTGTTCTGCCTATAATTAAGTCTACATAAGGCAAAGCATCTTCCACAACGACTATTAATCTAATAGTCGGTAGCGGATGAACTGTGCAATATGGCAAGAAAGATGGGGATGCACACGCCCACGAAGTTAATACAAAAAACGTTTCTTTTCTTATTTTTTTGTGTGATTGAATGACATATAAGCCCCCGTGGGAAATAAAAATTGTTACTTTGCTTTACATGACCAATCAGTCAAGGGATGTGGTCCATAAGTGTAATAAGGTGATGGTTGGAAAGAAAAGGAATAGAAAATAGCAATTGGTCATAACCTAAGAGATGGAAATCTGATGGGTAACTGTTCCGTTTATGTGTACGACCGATACGTGCTATACTAAAGTATGGCTTATCCTACTGCGAATTGATTCGACAGTCCCACTTCTTGACTACTTGGCTACGCAATGAGGCTAACATACTATAAAGGTTAAGTTTTTTTAAAACCTGATATAAATACTTCGTGTTATTATTATAATTAATTCCCTCAGAGATATATATTGTAAGACTAAAGTCTTAAAGAGCTAGTATCTAAGGCGATCAGCTTTATTGGAAACTCTAACGCAGTTAAGACTTGACTTTGCGACCATTGACTTGTTAGTCGACATCCTTTCTTTGCCTACTCGGTCACTCAGGGCGTCGAGTTAAACGGCTAATGTTGATTCCGATTTCTATATTTGAAAAAAAATTCTAATTTACCGGTCAGATAAGGCGACTGCTGAATATTCATTCTCAAGCGAAGAACAATCTCTTACTTCTCTTATATTTTTGTTTTTACATAAAATGTTTTTAAAAAAAATATTAAAAAAATGACATTATATTTGTCGGTTGTATGTCTAGATTACATGTTAACATTATTTGTTGGTTTTTTAACACGGCTGCGCTTTTCTACTTTTTCTTTTTTAAATCGTTTTTGTGTGAATGTGTTTGCAAATAAACTTTATTAAAAATAGTTTTAAGAGCGTGCGGCAAAGGCCTACGGCCGTATATTTTGCTGTATCCAATCGATATAATCAGTAACACGCGTGTAGACACCGGGCCAACCCTGTAAACCGCAACGATTGCCAAATGATACAATGCCCTCCAAATACCAGCGATTATTAAGTTGACGCATCAGCGGACCACCCGAATCGCCGTCACAGCTATCTTTTGAAAATTCACCGCCAGCGCACAGCTGCGATGTTATCAAACTTATGCGACGTGTCTGAAATTTATTGGCACACTCCTCATGTCCGGTGACAGGCACTGCCAATTGTTTCTTTACATTGGACTGACGTGCTGCAGCAAAATATAAAAATAATCATAAAAATAAATTTTGCTCACCAAAAAAAAAAAAGAAGAAAAAAATGCAAAAAAACTCCTTTAGGAATTTCTGCATACGCATATGTATGCATGTATCCATGTTACGTATGAAATTTTCTTGTTTTTGTGTTTTGTTATTTACTTACCCAACAAGGTGCGACCCCAGCCGGCTACAATTAAATGATCTCCCACATTTATAGCACTACGTTGTTGTGACAAAGGCAGGCATACGGGACGTATGAAATATGAGAATTTAACATCGGCCGCCAAACGTATTAAAGCGATATCATGATGACGATGAATATTCCCCGTAGTAAAATAGTCCGGATGAGGTATTACTTCTTCAAAACCCAAATCTACAGGCTTCTCATTACAATCGTCTTCTATGCAATCAATTTCCTGATTAGTGTCATATTCACCTAAGCGAACTCTCGTTCTAATTCCGTATTAAAAAAAAATACATAATGTATTCAAATATCGGCTAAAACTGTAAGGCACTTACAATTGTCCGACTTCCTTTTCAATGTCACCAATAACGCAATGAGCAGCCGTTACCACGTAACGTTGATTAATTAGACTACCACCGCAATTAAATTCTTCATTGCCATTCTCTGCGATGATTAAATAAATAAATATTGACAAAGATAAATAAATAAAATTTATTCTATTTAGTTTTAACTTACTGTCTCTGTATGATAACAACACCATCCAAGCGTACTGATCCAAGCCTGTATCATTACCCATATAAATTTTATCGCCAAGTGTTACGTGACCGCAATTTGGTGGCACAGGTAATACATTGCCAAGACCGTTACTTGGCGATGGACTTGCGCTTAACCAAGTGCGAGGCGTAGTTACTCTTGTAACCGGTCTACTTGTCGTGGTTGTTGTTCTTTGTGTTACAGTCGGTGTTGTCGTATAGCCCTTATCCGAAGTACAGCAAACATGTGGTGGCCGTCCATAGCCACGTTCGCATTGGGATTCTTGTAAAAATTGCAATTCCAACGCATTCAAATTAACCTCCTTCACGACCTCTAGTAAACTTTCACAATTGTATATAGATATGCATTGGCCTATACGGCGATTCGGGTTACGGCAGCCGGCTGCAATTGCAAGAAAAATAACGTCTTGTCAACTTGTTCCCGAAAAATGAACGTAAACCTAGCTTGTTTTTTCAACCATAGGGAAACTTAGGGTTTCATCTGTTCGTTATTTTCCACAATATATGAACCAAGGAAGTGAAATTAACTTCAAGTGATTTATATATGAATATCGTCAGAGAAACGATACCTACCAACACTTTGACGGGATATGCACAACTGCCCTTGGTATACTTTCCGTGATAATCAAAACATTTACACACAAACAGTGGCCCGGTTATGAATGGAGATTATTCCACAATAATTTTGAACATATATGCATAATAGATCTCAGCTCATAGTTATAGCGAATAAATAAAAACTCTATAGGCAGTCATTGCCCACCACATTATCATTCATATAATGATTTTCCAAAATAAAGCGTTATATGGAAAGTGGACGACGAGTCGGTCGGAGCCTTAACTATTACTATTTACAGTTTGACGGCAAGAAAAAAAGACCAATCGATCGACAAATAAGCCTAGAATCACTTTCTGAATCGAACTGTGTAATAAAAGATGAATTTATTTCAAGTCTTTCCGGATATTGCAGACATCTACACAAGTTAATATACCTTTGCACTACGAGTAGTGTAAAGTACAAAAATTTCGTATCGAAGGTGATCCAGATTGGGACAAAGTTATCTCCAAAAATTTTTGGCCCAGATGCAGATAAAAAATGTAGTATCGGTAATATATTCAATTGGGATAGAAGGCATGCCCGTAATCAGATGGCCAAAGGCACGTAATTGACTTTTGTTTGGCTTGAGTAAATAGAGTGACTGACATACCGAACTAAGCTAGGAGATTATCTTGATTATGTTTGAGCTGTTTAACCCGCTCAGAGTTGTTTGTAGAAACCTAAAAGGTGTCTGTCACTTATTCTCATTATCGGGATCAATTAAAGCAACTTTGCTTCATATGCGCGATTTATCCATGTCGCACTTAAACTAACATTTGATTCTTAATATCTCATTTTTTATTTAAAATAACATTGTGTTGTTAATGTGTTGGTTGCCAAGCTTATGCATGTTTGCAATGGTTTAGGGGTTCACTTGCAACCTGGATCTGTTCTCTTTGCGGGTTTGCTTCTGTGCTAGTTGAGTACATGCTTTTTTTCTTCTCTCTTTTTATTTATTTACACATGAATCATTATTTTTGACTTTTAAATTTATTTTTAAACTTACTTTGCTGTTATTATTGTTCTTCATCTTCATTCTTTTTCTTCTTTTTTCTTGTATACTAGTTTTAAAACAATTAGTATAAGATTTTCTATTAAGATGCACTCAACTCGACTGTGATTTTCTTTAGTTGAATTTCATTTATAAATGGGTAAAATAAAAATAAATAAAATTGGCGCGATTTTCCCGCGATTTGGGCCACCACTAAACTCCCGCAATACGCCGTTCCCGTTATCAGGCCGAGAGAAGAAAATTATTTCTTGGGCTCCTGACATCCATACTACCAAAAATAAAGCAGAAAAAATGGTCAGGTCGGATTTTGTATTAGATCGTATATAAACTAATGAGATAGAATCTGCAGTTGACATTCCAATCTATACAATGCGCTTGGAGCATTCTCACGGACTGAAGGAGGCCTATCGCGATCTATTTCATTTAATAAGTAAGAAAATGGCTCAAACCAAATACAAAGCAATGCTAGCAGTGCAGGAAAACGTGGAAACGGCTTCCGACTACGTTACCAAACCAGGAAAAGAGGAAGCTTCTGGCAAAACTTTAGAGCTCCTCGCCGTGCAAAAAGGGCAATACGGATTAGGGTTTATCGCCCAGCTGTTGATAGCTCACCTAAAAGCATGTTGCCTGAGGGAATCGTAAGAAGTAAATGTTCTCAGGGTAACCACCGTCTCAGTAGTAGAGAAAACCGGAGTAAAATCAGGTCCATCGTTCGTCCGTCTTACTTCGCAAGTAGAATGTTCAGGACAAAGCACCACCTTTAGCCTGGCAGCCTTTAGAAGGATTGTAACAGAGATAAGCCTCTTTCATGCGGAAATTCATTAAGAGATTCCTGGCCCGTAGTTTGCATTCAATTATTATAATACAATTTTCTCCGAAGGAAACATCGCGGGTCAAGTTATATGTAATCGTGGAAGTAGAATGATGTAATCTGCTATTAGGTGTTAAAGTCTGGTGAAATGCTTAATACCAAGCACTATCCACAAAAGTTAATCGATTTGAAGAGATTATCGCTGAAAAGATGCGTAAAATATGAACAAAGCTAACAGAAGATAATTTTATTACATAACGTCTGCCCATCCATCCATATAGCAAAGCTATTCGTGATAAGTTGAGAGCGGTCATCCCATGGCACTTGCTCATCAAACTTATTAGATGACGTCTGTGCATGCATTCATGTAGCAAAGTTGCTTCGTGGTACGTGGGAAGTACGTTGGAAGCGGTCAATCCATGGCACTAACTTATCAAAATTATTACATGACGTCTGTGCATCCATCCATGTAGCAAAGCTGTTTCGTGACATGTTGGAAGCGCTCAACCCAAATCAAATTTGAAACGTTCATAATTCCTAATCGTCATGGTTTTCGAAGTACGAATTGAACAAATCTTCCCATTTTATTACATGACGTTCGTCCATTCATCCATGTAGCCAAGCTGATTCGTGAGACGTTGGAAGTGCTCAACCCATGGCACTTACTTATCAAACTTATTACATGATGTCTGTCCTTCCATCCTTGTAGCAAAGCTGCTTCGTGTTACGTTGGAAGTAATTAGGAAGTGTTCAACCCATGGCATTTATTAATCAAACTTATGACATGACGTCTGTCCATGCATCCATGTAGCAAAGCTGGTTCGTGATACGTTGGAAGCGCTCAACCCAAAGGGCTTACTTATCAACCTCGAAACGTTCATTATTCTTAATCGTCATGGTTTTCGAAGTACGAATTGAACAAATCTTCCCATTTTATTACATGACGTTCGTCCATTCATCCATGTAGCCAAGCTGATTCGTGGTACGTTGAAAGCGATCAACCCATGACACTCACTTATCAAACTTATTACATGAAGTCTGTCCATGCATCCATGTAGCCAAGCTGGTTCGTGATACGTTGGTAGCGCTCAACCCAAAGCGCTTAGTTATCAAACTTATAACATGACGTCTGTCCTTCCTTCCTTGTAGCAAAGCTGCTTCGTGGTACGTTGGAAGTACGTTGAAAGAATTCAGCCCATGGCACTTAGTTATCAAAATTATTAGATGATGTCTGTCCATGCATCCATGCAGCCAAGCTGATTCGTGACACGTTGAAAGCGCTGAAATCATGACGCTTGCTTATCAAATTCGAATCCCCATAATCAAAGAACTGTTAAGTCTAATAATGAAGAAAGCGGTCACTGTTCTTAGACACTTCCACGAATTGAAGAAATCTTTCCAAGCAAAAATGAGCGATTATCAAAATCAAAACTATCTTTCTACTACTAAATTGAATGATGGGAAGTCAACAGGAAAATATATTTACTCTTATTAAAAGCATATTTTTCTACAAAGGCTAAGTGTTTTAGATTAAATGTAAATTTTCATTGAATTTCCAACTTTTATAGAAATTCCCAATTAGCCCTAATGACTGATAACAACGAAGCTTTTGTTGATCTAAACAAAATGTAGTTCTATGGGCGTCGTTTGAGTCACACGTTTCTAATCAATTAATTTATTGAATCGTAAAACACAGTAATAAAAATGAAAAAAAAAAAAACACATTGAGTTATAGTTAATGTAATTAAATGTAAACAACGGAAGAAAACCCGCCAACAAAAACAGCATTCAGTAGCGAAAAAAACCCCAAAAAAAAAAAATCGGAATAAGCAAGCAAAACAAACATTGAATGCAACAAAGGCTAGCTGACAATGCACGTCAGTCTCGTATGTAAGCGAGACTGAGATTCAAGTTCATGACTCATATGAAGATGTTACTTACTTTGCGCTTGAACAGTGTGTGATTGTAGGTAAGCTAAATACGTGCATGCTACCAATAAACCAGGTAGACTATACTGCATGGTTATATATTAAATTATATATGTATATATATGTATATATATATATATATGTATATGTATAAATAATTGATTTTATTTAAGAATGAATCGCACTTAATCGCTTCGCAAACGAAACACACTTGAACTCTTGAACCGAAGTAGTACGTAGGCACTTGAATCTTTCTCTTTATTTTTTTTTATTATTATTAATCTCAACTTAATATGTAGTCAACCGCAGCTTAAAAACCACTTAACAACTTATTCGTACGAAAGTACAAACGCAACTGTGATGCTAAAGCGTGAGTTAATGCTAATCAGGTATTTAGTTAATATTTGTTTTTTCCTCTTGATTTTAAAAAGATTGAAGTATCATTTGTTTTTTTTTTTTTTTTCTTTCTTTTCAATTTTGCTATGAAACTCAATTTCAAAAACTCAATGATTCTCTTTAACTGAAAAGAATTCTTAATTAAAATGATCATCAAGTAAGTTAATTAAAAATCTGATTAAAATGCCATTTTTCCCAAACAGTTTACAGTGCATCTTCTGTTTAATTGTTGGATTGGTAAAAAAATAATTTCGGTTTTTTTTTGTTTTTTGTTTCAGCTATGGGCAAATGTAAGCAGAGTCACTGGTGAGTTGAAAAATAATGTCTAAGTATAGCTTATAGGTTTTCCAATAAATAAAAGTTCCTCTAATTAGAAATTATGCCTTGTGCTTTAGCCTCCAGAAAGGCAGTGAGGGGGTAAAACAAAGTGAAAAGTCAAATCATTTACTTCACGTGTTTTCAAGAAAACTATTCTATTCTATGGTTGGGGATACACCGCCGTCGAAAAGAGATTATAAGAAATCACTTGAAAAGGATTTCTGAAACGATCGCTAGGACTACCTACTGAATATAGGGAAGGTAAAATGCAAGCAGAAATACAGCTGAGTTTAGAAACAATTTTCATGAGAACGTTGTTTATAAATGACATCTGCTCAATAATATCTCCAATAGTTGGAAAGTCAAATACTCAACAAATTGCTCGCAAATAAAGATCCAGATAAAACTTCAGGCCTATCGTTTTAATCCGGGGGCCTTAAATGGAAACGTTTTAGAACAAATGAAAAAGGCTTCCACTATACATATAGACTTTATATAGCTTATACTACGTGTATATAGCTTTTTTTTGATATGTCCAATCACTCAAGACTGTAATGCGGTGATCGTCAAAAAGAAGAGCGGAAAGAGACAGCAATAGGAAGGTAGCGATCGCAATCGGTAAGTGTCATGCTTTTACCAGCTAAGTACCCCCTGACAGCTGAGTTCAGAACAAAATGATTCATGTATAACTTTTGATCAATACAATTTCCAACGATTAGAAAGTATCTCATCCATTAAATTCCTTCGAACACTTGAAAAGGGCTCACAAACATTTAGGCACTAGACCTCCAAATAAAACTGTCCACTTATCATTTTAATCCGGAGATCTTAAGGCAATATATAAAAATCTCTGAAGAAAACGAGAAGAACCCAAGAGTTAGTTAAGTGTAAGCAGAAAGGCAGCTAAGTTCAGAAAGAATTTTCATTTGCACGCGACACCTGAACAATAAAATTGCTAATAACTAATATAACAAATTTCTCTTTCATATTAATCTTTACTAAGGGGACGAATTTCAAATGTGGTGCTCAAAAGAAAAACAAAAAAACCCGGCAATCCATCAGATTAACTCAGATATTTTAGCAAAGCAGAGTACTTGGAAACTGGAACTTATACGTAAATAGCACAAAATAGACGAATTCTCATAAATCTTTCTATCATACCGTTTAATTATATCTTTTATAAGCATCTTAAACCAGATGTACGCGCTTAATTAAGATTAATCGACATTTCATCAAAATAAACTTTAAAAATAATTATTTGATCATCGTATCAAATCGTAAAGAAGAGGAGGAGTGTTATCTGCACTTTACCAAAAGCTGACAAAAACTTTTGCTATTAATATAAAAATATTTTAACGCCTGTGAAATCGATTGCAATTTAATAGAATTTAAAATCCATTATCTTATTTTCAATATTTTCTCTGATTGCCGTACGTACGTAGACAAGTATTTAATGGGAAATTCAATATTATCCGTTTTGTAGCTTAAAAGCAAAATGCATGCGAAATGAAATCTTTTTATACTTTCATATAAGCTTTACTCATGCTTTCTTCTTAGTACATTATTCTTATTAGATAGAAATTAACTTTAAACTCTAACAAAGAAAATCAGATGAAGATATTAAAGCAAAGGCGAGCTTATTGTAATTCGAACATAAGTAAAGTATATGTCGTTATGAGAAGAAATTGTGCACATGTGACAGAGAAAAAGAAAATACACATAAACGAAAGAAGCAAATAAAAAAAGACGGACTAAGATGTAAAAGGGCAAAGGAAAATAAATATTTGCACTTTTTTTTTAAAATATATTTTGAAGCAAGGAAAAAGTTCGTGGCGATTTCTCAACTTTAAATTTCAAACGGATTATTTCTGTTTTTATGTTTTACATGGAACAGAACTGAAAACAGAAGAAAACGTTCTTAACCGCCGTCTTTTCCAAGTGTGCCCTAAAAGGGTTCTTCACAAGAAACGGTATATGGTAATGTGATGGGCATGGCCCGAGCCCTATGGTAAATGAATCAATATTTCATGAGCAAACTTTTTCAATTTTTGTCACCCGATTAATAATATGATATAACTTCATGTGAGGGGAGACGCGGCCTTCCCTAATGATCACTTCGGTTTGCGTTTTGCCACAATTGGCCGTTTTAACGGAACTCTTTGTTGACAGTAAAGAGTTAAATCAATCATCTGGTTAGATTCGAACAGGACTTGATGTATAATCTGATGACAGTCTAACCAAACAAAAACAAAGCATTACCAAATGTGTCGTCAATCCGCGTTGTGCAATTGTTCTGTACGTACTCATCTTTTTTCGACTACGGTCTTTTTTTTACAATATTGCAATAGGTGCATCTCCTTTCATCGTTCGTTATCTCCCTAGCAGCGACTCGCAGATTAAAATCCAGTCCAATAAGCTTTTCATTCGTATACGCTTACACCCAGTATCCAGACTTCCTGTATCTAGTTTCCTTTCGTTTATGAAATGAAGACATTCTTCTTCTAAATGGTTCATAAGGTCCTCAAAATGTTGCTCTTAAACAACCACTTTTAATGGTACAGCGAAACAGTAGGGACCTGGGGCACAGTTGGCCAACTGCCTGCTATTGCACCATTTGTCCTCGAGCAAGGCTTGGTGAATTTCCGGAACTTGTGAACAGTCCAAATGATAAACTTAGGCTTAAATTTAAACTTCCGACTTTGTAGTCCAAATAGTGTATGGCCGCGAAAGTGTGATGGGATTCTCATCAGATTTGCAGAAGAATGATTGCTTGCCCGACTGCTGCATACGGGTTTTCAAGAGGAATCCTGCTGGCTATGGTTATCCCAAACGTTAAACAACTACGTAGGGTTTAGATAGCCCTCCACTTATGAGAAAAATAACTCACAATCTTCTTTTTCTCATTCTGATACATTGGGAATGAGAAGCCCTCCTTCGGCGGCAATTGTCCTACTCCGCGGGGAACGCCGATTATCAAATCAACCCATAGCGTCCGTGGGGCGCAGTGAGGTTAGACTTGATATAGAATCTTCAGTATAAACACTATTAACTTTTACACGCCTGCAAGGCGTTATTAACTTGATCGGTGTAAACTTGGCGACTTGTTTCCAAAATTTGGATTCGTTTTCATCCCGCAGTACTTTCAACCAAATCAACAACTGCTAGAGTTTTTTATTTTAAAATATCTATTAAACTATCGTCTCTCATTCGAGCTATAATCGGGCTTGATAGGATTATGATTATCAAACTTATGCAACTCTAAAGCCTTCTATGAGAGGAAAAGCCACGAAGATTAGCTTAATCATAACTTCCAAAGCCACGAACTTCTTCTTTGATGTACTATAGAAAAATACATAAGATTGCAATAAAAGCAAAAACAATAGGTGCTGAAGCTAATGGAAACGTTTATATGTTCGCATGGCTCTGCTGAGGAGAGTTCTAACTTTTATTACCACCATTCACATAAAGATGAGCGCACATCAGCTTCACTGTGCGATGTTTCACGTACTTATTGTGAGAGTTTGAAATATTTCTTACAAAAGTATTCCACCTTTGAGACCTCGAAACTCTTATAGGGACTTCATTCATTCCATTCATACTAAGATACAGAGGCGTTTCGAATTAACTATAGATTTCTTGGTTCGAGCGCCTTACTTAACAGATAGCACTTAGCATAAGCTTGATTAATATCATTAAAATTACTATCCATCTCCCATCAGGGATCAAAACCAAACTTTTGTCCTATATCTTATCCTTGTAGAGACCAGGTATGAAACTTAATCAAAGGCATATAAAAAATTAAATGAATTGAATTTATTTCATAGGCATTATAGAGATCTGCTTAAAGATGCGTTTAAAAGCTTTGGACAAAGATACATCTCGGATCGTGTATTTAACGAAAAACTAACCGAGTAAGCACAGTTTGCCCCTAAGGCGTTGACAAATTTATTTTCTTTCTTCGCCGTTAGAAATTTTTTGAGTATAATTTCTTGTTCATATTTTTTATTTTTTTATATCCCCTGATAAGCAATCCAAAGTATAATCAGATATTATATGCTCTTTACAACCACTTTGCTCTGTGCTAGTGTGCAACTACCGACTTGATTAGTGAGAGCACTGTGCACACTAGTAAGTATACTTTCATTTAAAAATATCTGCTGCAGTTTTATCTTTTGTTTTTAATTCTGAGATGCAAAAAAAAAAAAAGAAAACGAAATACCCTCTGGGCATTACTAATTATCTCAGTATAAAGTTAAGGTAAAACTGTCGTCCTTTTACCTTTACCTCTCTGAAAAAACTGTGGCGAAAAGAAACGAAAACAGAAAAAAAACTTGCGAGAATAAATTTGTCAGTGAAATGAAATATTTAATCATAACTAATGCCAGAAACACCACAATCGTATCGCTTGAAGCAATTTTCACAATTTTTGTTTCGCATATACACTCAACTGGGCGATATACTGTCTTCTGCCGTTAACCCCGCCACCACTACATTACATTTCAAAGCTCTGGTGTATCGTTAGCACTCGCGTGAATTATTTAACAAGATTTTCGTTCGGCGGCATTTAATGATTATTT